GTCAGCAGTCACTTGCTTCATGCCTAGTAGTTTGCACGGTGCTGGGGCACCTTCCGTGCACAATATGTGGGTCTTTTTTGTTTTGTATTTTTCATTTTAGTCGTTATTGGTTACTGAGTATTATGCAACCACTAAGTTAGAATCCCTAGAATGTCTTAGACTGCGATGTTTATGATTTGTGTAGATATTATTTGTTTTGGGGGGAACATATGTTTTTTTAATAATTAAGTAAAATTGATATATTTTCCCGCACAAATCACTATTACAAATAATCAGTTTAGTAAGTTACTAACTGGAGACTTTTGTTTATACCACTTCTAAATAGGAGATAGTTTGAAGTTTAGATTTCTCTCAGTGGCCTATATGTAAGTGCCAGGTGGCAAAAAGCTTATTGCATACTATACAAAGTCATAGTCATTGGCTCAAAGAATCATTGTTCAGTCCTATTTCTTGTCAGTTTAAATGTACCATAACAGTGGAGATATGTTTTTTCAATATGCTGCATGAATTTATATCAAGGCTTGATAACTAAACTGTCAGAAATCCCAAGTTCGTCAGAGACTGCATTATTTTTATGTAGAGAAAAAGAGTTTCTATTCTGTTACATGAATTGTCATCATAATATTACAGTTAAAGCTAATGAACCATTCTCTGGCATTTGAAAGTCAGTTAACGGAGCATTTTCCTGACGAAGCTCAAGTTTATAAATGAATTAAGTCTATTTGTGTGGGTGTTGTAATGATCATGGAAATATTCCTCATCATTACAAAATACCTCCTTTCTACTCCCAGTTAAGGCCTGCATGACCTACAAAAAGAAGCAAATAATATTCATTTAATCGAAATCAGATATGCAAGGCTTGGAGAAGAAAATAATCCTATGAGGTTGTCATAGCAAATATTTCTTATTGAAATCTGAGTTGCATATAGGACTTCAAAGTGAAGGTCTTTTTAAAAATATTTTTTATTTTTTGATTTTTTTTATCCACCACCCCTATCCTGTCGTAGAAACTACCATACTCTTGATGTTCATTCATGTTTAATATCCTTTTCTTGTCTCACAATCAAGAAGCTAATGAAGAAAAATATTTTTAAAAACCCCCTTGACTTTTTATCTGTACTTTGCCTTCTCTGCTGAAATGCCATTTAGTTTCAGATTAATTCCAGTTATCAGAAGGAGAGCTCTACTGAGTGAAGGAATTCAGTTACAAATTGGCAATCCTTGCAGGTATCTCTTGGCAATTTTTAAATTGCCAATTTCAGGTTTTCTTTGCCTTATTAAAATAAGAAGTTATTGAAAATCTTCTGTTATATTCACTTACTTATGTTTAATTTCCCTTGCTATATTTAAGACATTTTTTGTTTAAAAATAAAATATAAAATGCAAGTATAGAACAATATACAACATGAATATAAGTGTAATGTACTATATATATTATTACAGATGAAAGCTGTAACTATGAAATACAAAAATCCATGTGTCTTCCATTAGAATTCCTAGACCTAAACTCACCCTTTTGAAATACTGAACTGAATGATACTCAGTTTTAGCCACTGCCATTTAATTTTTTTATTTCAATTCACTAGTAATCCTACCTTTCAAAAATTATGAAGAGACAGGCTCAGTTTTATTTTAACTGGATGATAAAATGACAGAATTAAAAAAATCACCCATGATAAGTTCTTGAAGTTCTATATGTTTATTGTCTCCTTTAAACCACTTGCATGACTCACTGCATTTTAAAAATATTTGGTCAGCTGTTTCTGAACAGAATAATACATGTATTGGCTGAATCTATAGCTCAGCATTTTCCACCTGTGTAGGAGGACTCAATGAATGTCTTCTATTTGCACAGTGTCTCTTGATGGTTTGACTTAAGGTGAAGTTAGGGTGTTTTCAAATTCGAGTTTTTGCTTTGTTTAGTACAGTGTTGAAACAAGTGCTCCAATTGAAATACGAAGAACTGGGATCCTATTCTGATTCAGCCATCTATCAGCTGTTTCATTTGGGATGTGTCACTTCTGACTTTACTCCTAAGGAGTCAGGGAAATAGAGGCTATACATTTAATTTTAAAACAACTTATAGCATGTAGTTGGAGCATTGATCTAAGAATATTTTAGTTTTTTTCATACAAATGTATGTAGAGGAGCCAAACAACTGAAAAAAACGGTGAGCTCCCCAGACTTCACAGCCAGAAAAGGTCTATGTAGGATTATGAAAATTTGATTCCCTCTCTCCATGTTTTAAAAAATACATTATAGATGTTCAACTCAATGTGACATAATTTTTAAACATCCTGACTTTGGATATAATTGTCCTTTGTCCTTTCACTTACCTCAAAAATAAATAAATAGATAGATAGATAGATAGATAGATAAGGCAACATTAAGGTAGTAGTTCATTAAATCAGACCAACATAAGTTTGTACTCAGGCCTGACATTAAGATTCTAGATCTACCTAAGTGTTACCTTCATTTTGTACTATGGTATTATTCTAAATGGCACATGTCTTAGGACCCTGCCATGTTTTACAACATTTCTGTGGCTTTGCACATGTTATCTGCCTGGAGTCTCTTTACATAGAAAAACCTCTGTATATAATGTAAATTTAATCTCAGAAATATAATCTCAATAATTCCATCTGAGGCATAGCCATCCAGCTTCTCATCCTCACACTATGTTTTGTGACCCCATTAAACCAATTTAATAATGGGTTCAAAATTTTGTTTGTTTGTTGCAAGTAGAGTCCTAAAGCTGGATCATTGCTTTTCTCAGTAACAAACGACTCATATCTTCTCTATCTGGATTGCATCCTTTTAGAGGAAGAGAAAGAGTAGGAAGTGGTGCATACTTAAAAGTGACTGATGTTGTTTGCTAGATGGAAAGGAATACTAATTTAACATATATGTGTATATACTTAAATATAATAATTTATAATTTAAAAATATGTGGTATTTTAAATTCACCATATTATTACCACATACCATGATTGACATTTTGAGGGATAAAAAGAGATAGTCAAGTAGTATAATAAAAATATTACATTCTTTCTTTCAGTAGATACAAAGTTTGACAGAAATTTGGTATACTTACATTCCACCAAGAATCTCCCTGATTAAACTCACATCAATTTAAGTAAAAGCCCCCCCCAATGGAATGTTGTATTAACATTAGGAATAAAGTTTACAGAATTTCCTTAGTAGTCTGTATATTTTGTCCAGTGACTACTAACATAGTATTTATGAGTAATTCTTAACTGAATACAATAAATATAGAAATGTCATCTGTTAACTGCACAAGGTATTTGCGATAATAGGTGTTATTAATATAATACAACTTCATGTTAAGCAGGTTCACAAAACTTTGTGTGTTTTTTTTGTTGTTGTTGTTTTTCTTTTTATTGAGTTTATTGGTACATTTTAGGTATACAGTACAGTTACATTCATTATTAGGATCTTGTACCTTTACATGACAGGTCTTGGTTCTCATTTTTTCCCCTTGTCGTGTCCTCCCTTCACCCCCTCCTTTCCTCCCCATTTACAAACACTTTATTACCATTTTTTCGTTTATTCATTTTTTTCTTTTCCCTTATTCCCTTTCCCCTACCCTTCCCACTTTCCCTACACCTTTAGCCCTTTTCTTCCTATTTCACATTGTTAATCATCTCATTAGGATCATGTGTACTATTATAGTTTTTACACACAAAAAACTTTGATTCTTTCCTGAATTACCTAGCCATATACATCTTTAGGAATAATTTCTTGCAATGTAACTTTAAAATTCATTGTTAAGTAATATTTCAAAAATACCAACATCTCAGAAGTTTGGCAAGAATAATTTGCTTTTTAAGAGTTTTACTTTCTTTAGATAGATTCATATATTGAAACTATTTTGAGGACTGAGGGGTGATAAACTCTTTGTTATAATATTATTTTTCTCTATAGCAAATGGCTCATGTCTTCTACTTTATACTGGAAATTTATGTCTTTGTTTAAGAGAAGTAACCATTTCTAACTGAAAATACAATAAAGCTGAAGTAAGTGCCCAGAAAATTTTAGTAGTTGTTTAAATACAGGCATATCTACCCATACATGTTTTTTTATATAAGAAATGTTTAGTGTGATTTTTTTTCAAAGTTAACTCTTTTTAAGGAAGGAAATAAAATGACTATGACATGGAGCATAGATGAAAATATTCAAACTGTTTTCTATTGACGATGGGAATTTTAAACTTGATAATGTAATTAATATAAATTTGAAAATATTACTGATAGTATTTTTGGTTATTGGCATGCAGCTGTAGAAGAAGTCTTTCATCCATATGTAATACCATATGTCAGGGAAATAGTAATGATTGCTGAATCATTATTGCTGTTGGTTGATGGGATAGTGGAACAGAAAATTAATACATCATGCTTAAAGTCATAACTGTTCAATTTTAGTTTAAATTTTGTCACTATACTTTTTTGTCTGTTGACTATAAATCCTTTTGAAAATAATGGTAAGTTAATTTATTTCAATAAAATTCAGTGAACACAAACATCAGTGGATGACTGCCAAGGAAATTTCAAATTTGCCTTTTTAAAATTAATTCTTAATATCTTCTACCCACATAAACTCATTTATGTTTATGGCCTGGCAAACTGTTTTGACTCTTATCCCTCCTTGTATAGTATAATAAAACTAGACTTAAGATCTCCAATTAGTCAGTCTAGCGGTAATGTTCTGCCTAACCCGATTGGAGGAAATGTGTGATGTCTGGGAAGGAGCAAGGGAACACTTCCACACCATTATCCAGTATATGTTTCATAACTTGTGTGCTCATTGTGGAGTCACAAAGTCAAGGTGGTTTGCATCGCTCAGTCATCATGTATAGAATAGCTGCCCTACAGTTTTGTAGACATGAGGCATACTTTATTTCAATGAAATATATGTATCCTGTTGATGCTGCTAATAATATTCTTTTCTTGTGACACTGAAGTTTGGGATTTATTTATTACAGCAGCATAAGCCACCTTACCTAGACTTATACACTATTTTTATTCCTGAAGGAAATTTGACTTATCCAATGAAATGAAGTAAAGTAAGTGTATTGAATATGTTAAAGTGTGAACTTAGAGGAAAATAAGCTTAGAGTATTTGTTATAAAACCAGCTATTATTTTAGACAATTTTTAGGAATATCAGCTGTACAAAGCAGGGACTGTAATGATCATAAATATTTAATAGGAGAATATAAAACCTTTATTGACTTGCCTTATTAATATAATCATTAATATACTAGAAATAATAGAACCATTGTCAACTACTTTCACATGAGGACTCATGTTTTGTACAATGTCATTGTTAAATCCATTCATCTGTACTTTTCTTCTTCCTATTTTTAAAGCACTGTCTATTCTGAAGCAAGCAGGGTCTCTGGTCTCTAGGTTAGCTGTTCACTACACAGAAACAAGTCATGGTCATAATATGGTTTATAGAAAACTCTGACAAAAAAGGGTAAATCCTTTCCCCAAACTTAAATGGAGATAGCATTCAGCCATATATACATGAGTAGAATGATGAATTTAAACATATTCATGTGTATAATTTTAACATAAATTTGTTTAGATAAGATTGCAACTTCAAGATAACTTTTCGAAAATAGTGAATTAAATAAATTATTTTAAGTTGACAAAGTGGTTTTTTAAGCAGTTATTAGAAACATCACAGATTTAGAGTTTTTTTGAATTATGAAAAATTCTCCAAATATTTTGCTAAAGAAATTGGTATTGGTAAAAGAAATATTACACATAATTCCTATAAAACATTGTATACTGTAATTATAGTTTTGCTTAAAGGAAGTAATTTGAAATTTGATAATAAGATGATAGAAAATAAAAATATAATGGCAGATACTTTATTACCTTTTAATTTTATGCAATATGAAGGATAAATGAAAGCATCTTTAATGCTACATGAAAAAGTAAGTTTATTGATCATCATAAGAATGTCATTTATACTTTCAATTATATTTGTGGAAGATTCTGTTATCCTCAGAGATAAAATCTCCCAAGTGTTAGACAAAAACATAGGTAAAATTTATGATGAAATAAAATATGTTATCATTTTGATAAAATACTTTTTTATAATTAGAAGCCTTGAGTAGCTTGAAGTTTTATTTCTAGGAGAAATGCTTTTTATTTATGCAAAATTAATTTACCTTTAATTAGAATTTATGCCACTCACTTTTAAGAAGGAAAGGAGGAAATTAGTATTTTTTCATTTTTTTTAATAGAAAACTTCAAAGAGTGATGACTTGATATTCAAATCCATAATTTTTATTTATTGAGATGAGTTAGCATAGTAAGAAGTTTCATATGAGTTATTTACTTGACTTTATACTTCTATCTAGATGTAAGTATGTTGGTTATGTTGAACATATTTGTGTTTTGCCTTGAGGAATCTGAAAAGCCTGTAAGTGATTATAAAACACAGTCCAAGTTAAAGTTTTTAGAATTTAAAAATATTCTATTTTTCTTCTAGTCTCCCCAAAGTAAAACTCATATTTCACCTTATACTCCTAATCATCTCAATAGTATGCTTGCTTATGTTTAAGGAAGTCTGTACTAGTAAAGCAAGACTTATTTGCATTATCTATATTATTAAATTATATGTGGTCAGTGTAACACGATTTTATATATCCCAAGTTATGTATGACTTACATATAAGAAATTATATATAACTTCTTAATTATGTATCCGTTGCAACTTTTCTTATTAAATAAAAACAGGAAGTAAAGACTATCAGATTGATATGTAGATAGTTTTATAGTATGAGTTATTTTTTAGGTCCTCAGCCCAAAACACCTTCACTCCCCATTTGACACATACTCCAACATGTGTCCAAAGCTCATAGTTTGAATGTGTTCTGTAGTTTTATAATAAGTTTCTGTGGGACCATTGTCATCATAATGTAGCATATTACATTTACTTGGAAATCATATCTTTATTACTGTATCTACTTTAGAATTTTAATCTTTTTAGAACTTGATTTTTCTGCCCATAAAATATTAATAAGACAGAATGTAGGTAACAGGCAAATGAATTCTTGTTTGAAAATAACACCCCCAGCCATTTGGAGGGTAAAACCCAGAAGTGGATCTTAGAAGTGCCATTTAAATTCAGCTATCACAGCTTGCCATGAGGCCACATCTGGCTGCTAAAAAGGCTGGTTATGTACTTTTAAGCAATGGGATCTTGTAACCAGCCAAAACTCTACTGTTATGGCAGAGACAACAAGTTTTTAGAGAACATTAGTAGCCTTTCTAACTTTACAGACTTTGCTCTTTACTTTTTATAAACAAAGGCATTTATTTGCACATGACTTTTAAAGCATAGATCTTGCCATTCTGTGGTGAGTTTCTTGGGGGAAGGAATGCCTATGCATCTCTGCATATTCCATGCTGAGGTCAATGATTGCCCCCAAAAGTAGGGAATTGGAGCAACTAATGAATATTGTTTGAATGGATGATTGTTCCAACATTAGAAACATTCAGAACATTGCTAGTCATGAACTTGGAGAAATCCATGCAATATTAGCAAAAATTAGCAAATAAATGAGTGCTTGAGAGTGGCAAATTTAATTTCTAATTTGGCATAGGAAAAAGGTTGCTCAAATCTTCCAAACTCTTGGCCTGTAAGGCAACCATTAAAGCCAGTAACTTCTGGAGAAAAACTCAAAACAAAATCACACCACACACGCACACACACACACGCAGGAGGGAGGAGGGAGATCTAAGGCAGGTAGATTGTAGATTCTGTAATGTTCTAGAAATAACTGTAGTATATGAAACATACCTAACTCAAGTTAACATTAAAGGTTTTCAGAAAAGAAAAATGTTCTTGATCTATACAGTTTTATCTGTCACCTAACAGTATTTTTGTATGATTCCCTTTTTCTTTACAATTATAGCTCAATTGGCTTATGTGCTGTTTCCAGTCGTTCTGCATTGAGCTATTTTCATTCCAGCACATAGCTATTTTCAGTCTCAACTGGAAATGAGTGCAGTGACCACCTGATGTTGCTGACTCTTTTTGGCCTTCTTTGTATTCTAAGATTGAACACACATTATTTTTGGCATGACACCCTTTTGTATTGATTCTAAGAATTCTGTTCAAGGCTCCCTTTTTCTGTCTAGCCTCAGGAGTCTGTTAGGATGAAAGAGTCATTAAAATGTGGGTTTGATGGTAGGACAGACAAAGTCAAGCATTTATACATTGTTAACCTCAGGAAGTCATTGAACTCAGGTTTTAACTTGGAGGAAAATACTAGAATATTTCAGGTTAAAGGAACATTTCTCAAGAATAAAATTCAGATTCATTTTATATTTATTCTCATCTTTTTTGGAGTTTCACAGTTGGTGGTCTGTTTGATATGATCATGTGTACTTGGCACATCATAAGGTTAATAATTTCACTTGCCAGAAAATGTGTCCTCTGCCTGGTTACCACTTTTTTGTCTCTCCCATCTCAGTGGCACCTATGAGGTGGAGCTTACACTTGCTTTCTCACACTAGAGAAAGTATTTGGTATTTACACATGTGTGTCCTATTTATTTTACTTAAGAGTATCGCCTCAATGTGCATCCATTTAACTATAAATGTCTCCAATTTCTCAGTTTTTATGGCTGAGTAGTGCTCCATTTAAAAAGATATAATAGATAATATGAAATAGGAAGAAAAGGGACAATGGGGAAGGAGAAATGGGAGGGGTAGGGGAAAGGAAAGAAGGGAATGGAATTAATATGAGAAAATGAAAAAATGGAAACAAAGTCTTTGTAGATAGGGAGGGAGGAGTTGAAACATAATTTTGGGGATGGGGGGAAACAAAAGAACCAAGATTGATTATGTAAAGGTACAAATTTCAAAAAATGAATGTCATTATAATGTATACCACTGTTAGTGGTTTCAGTAAGAAAGAGAATCAGAATCCAAATCTGAGAGCCTAGAAATAAAAAGACAGTTGAAAACCTTTAGTGTTTGTAGAGGGAGGGAGGAGTTGAAACATAATTTTGGGGATGGGGGGAAACAAAAGAACCAAGATTGATTATGTAAAGGTACAAATTTCAAAAAATGAATGTCATTATAATGTATACCACTGTTAGTGGTTTCAGTAAGAAAGAGAATCAGAATCCAAATCTGAGAGCCTAGAAATAAAAAGACAGTTGAAAACCTTTAAATTTATGGGAACAAAACTGACAACACAATTAACATTGTAGTGAAGATCCTGCAATAATACCAGTCTATTCAGGCTACTCCTATGGGTGGTCCATGGACACATTCTCAGGGACAGATGTTCTCTACAATACTGCTATTTTGGAATAAGTAATAACTTTTTTGATTTAATTCTATGATTATTTTTATAATGACATTTTTTATATTTACCTTATTATGATATATCACTACATAAATATTCAGCTGCTTTATTTCCCACTTTAACCTTTGTATGTATAAACATTTTGATGCCATATTGTTCTACTTTAATTGTCCTAGACTACTGAGAAAAGTAAGCAAATATAAATACTGCACTTACACTAATGAAGGGCCAAGTGAGTTTAATTCCCAACAAATATTTGAAGTTGTCCAGTAGGGAAAAGGGTGGAGAGGATAATCTTGTAGCATAAGCTGCAAGATGGACTTGCTGAATTCAAGAAGGTCCATACTTTTCTAATTATTTATATTTCAAGTTGATAAAAATTTAAATACAAAAAATTAAATATGTACTACTCTCAAGTGTCTTCACAAACCCACGATCTCACATAGATCTCTTTTATATTTTAATGTGTGATACAAGTACCTAAAATGTCTTTTAGCAAATGTTTAGTGTAAAACACAGCATCATTATCTCTAATCTTCATTCTCTACATTTGCTCTATGAACTACTTATCTTTCATAACTGAAATTTGTAGCCTTTGAAACCCATCTCACCATTTCTGCTCTACCTTGTCCTGGTAACTGTCTTCCTAAATGGTTTCTATGTATTCAGGATTCTGAAAAATGTTTGTTAATTAGGGCTTTTAAAAGATAACACAAATAGCTATTTTT